TTTATGCTTTTGGGATCGCAATAAAAAAGACCGTAAATGTTAGAAGGAAATATTTTCATAGTATTAAATTAATATAACGTCTTTTAATTTTAAAATCTTAATTTTTCTTTGAACCGTAGATAATGTTTGTTATCCATTGGATAAGACTTGTTGGTGTCTTGTCTAGTTGGGGCAGGCGTTGGCGCCATCTCTATTAACATAGCTAGAGCAGGCTTTGGCGCCATGTCTATTAACATAGCTAGAGCAGGCGTTGGCGCCATGTCTATTAAGATAAATAGAACACGCTTTGGCGTCATGTCTAGTTTGGTCAGATGTTAGCGCCATGTCTATTTGGACAAGGTGTTGGTGTCATGTTTGTTGGGGTAAGTGTTGATGTCTTGGCTAGGTGGGGTGGGTGTTGGTGAGATGTTAGTTTAGACGGGTGTTGGCGTCATGTCTAGTTTGGGCGGATGCTGGCGTCATTTCTAGTTTGGTCAGATGTTGGGTCATGTCTAGTTTGGGGTGGGTGTTGGCGTCATGTCTAGTTTGGGGTGGGTGTTGGGTCATGTCTAGTTGGGTCAGATGGTGGGTCATGTCTAGTTTGGTCAAATGTTGGGTCATGTCTAGCTTGGTCAGATGTTGGGTCATGTCTAGTTTGGTCACATGTTGGGTCATGTCTAGTTTTGTGAGATGTTGGGTCATGTCTAGTATTGTCAGATGTTGGGTCATTTCTAGTATGGTCAGATGTTAGCGCCATGTCTATTTGGACCAGGTGTTGATGTCATGTCTTTTTGGGGTAAGTGTTGATGTCTTGGCTAGTTGTGTTGGGTGTTGGTGACATGTTAGTTTAGACGGGTGTTGGCGTCATGTCTAGTTTGGTCAGATGTTGGGTCATGACTAGTTTTTGGGATGGGTGTTGGCGTCATGTCTAGTTTGGTCAGATGTTGGGTCATGTCTAGTTTGGGGTGGATGTTGGCGTCATGTCTAGTTTGGGGTGAGTGTTGGGTAATGTATAGCTTGGTCAGATATTGGGTCATGTCTAGTTTGGTCAGATGTTGGGTCATGTCTAGTTTGATCTGATGTTGGGTCATGTCTATTTTGGTCAGATGTTGGGTCATGTCTAGTTTAGTCAGATGTTGGGTCATGTCTAGCTTGGTCAGATGTTGGGTTATGTCTAGTTTGGTCAGATGTTGGGTCAGGTCTAGCTTGGTCTGATGTTGGGTCATGTCTAGTTTGGTCAGATGTTGGGTCATGTCTAGTTTGGTCAGATGTTGGGTAATGTCTAGCTTGGTCAGATGTTGGGTCATGTCTAGTTTGGTCAGATGTTGGGTCAGGTCTAGCTTGGTCTGATTTTGGGACATGTCTAGTTTGGTCAAATGTTGCGTCATGTCTAGTTTGGTCAGATGTTGGGTCATGTTTAGTTTGGTCAGATTTTGGGTCATGTTTAGTTTGGTCAGATGTTGGGTAATGTTTAGTTTTGTGAGATGTTGGGTCATGTCTCGTATGGTTAGATGTTGGGTCATGTCTAGTTTGGTCAGATGTTGGGTCATGTCTAGTTTGGTCAGATGTTGGGTCATGTCTAGTTTCCTCAGATGTTGGGTCATGTCTAGTTTGGTCAGATGTTGGGTCATGTCTAGTTTGGGGTGGGTGTTGGCGTCATGTCTAGTTTGGTCAGAGGTTGGGTCATGTCTAGTTTTGTCAGATGTTGGGTCATGTCTAGTTTGGTAACTTGTTGGGTCATGTCTAGTTTGGTCAGATGTTGAGTCTTGTCTAGTTTGGTCTGATGTTGGGTCATGTCTAGTTTGGTCAGATTTTGGGTCATGTCTAGTTTGGTCAGATGTTGGGTCATGTCTATCTTGGTCAGATGTTGGGTCATGTCTAGTTTGGTCTGATGTTGGGTCATGTCTAGTTTGGTCAGATGTTGTGTCATGTCTACTTTGGTCAGATGTTGGGTCATGTCTAGCTTGGTCAGATGTTGGGGTCATGTCTAGATGTTGGGTCATGTCTAGTTTGGTCTGATGTTGGGTCATGTCTAGTTTGGTCAGATGTTGTGTCATGTCTACTTTGGTCAGATGTTGGGTCATGTCTAGCTTGGTCAGATGTTGGGGTCATGTCTAGTTTGTTCAGATGTTGGGTCACGTCTAGTTTGTTCAGATGTTGGGTCATGTCTAGTTTGGACAGATGTTGGGTCATGTCTAGTTTGGGGTGGGTGGCGTCATGTCTAGTTTGGTCAGATGTTCGGATATGTCTAGTTTGGGGTGGGTGTTGGGTCATGTCTAATTTGGGGTGGGTGTTGGGTCATGTCTAGTTTGGTCAGATGGTGGGTCATGTCTAGTTTGGTTAGATGTTGGGTCATGTCTAGTTTGGTCAGATGTAGGGTCAGGTCTAGTTTGGTCAATGTTGGGTCATGTCTAGTTTGGTCAGATTTTGAGTCATGTCTAGTTTGGTCAGACGTTGGTCATGTCTAGTTTGGTCAATGTTGGGTCATGTCTAGTTTGGTCAGATGTTGAGTCATGTCTAGTTTGGTCAGACGTTGGGCATGTCTTGTTTGGTCAGATGTTGGGTCATTTCTAGTATGGTCAGATGTTGGTTCATGTCTAGATTGGTCAGACGTTGGTGCCATGTGTATTTTGTACAGGTTTTGGTGCCATGTGTATTTGTGACAGGTGTTTAAAAAACAACCTGGCAACTAAACGCTCTTAGCACTTTTTCATAATATTTAATAATAAATCATTGCAAAACAAATTGTTTGCAATAATCTTAAAAAATGATCAAAATTTACTTTTTAAAAAAAAAGATATTTCCATAATGTAAGGGGAAAATAAGAATTGTAACAGCTACTCTTAAGTTTTCAACAACAAAAAAAAAAACAAAAAAAACCAAAGACTCTGAAGTTACAGTGGTATTTTTTTTTAGGGAGCTTGGATTAATGCTTAAGAACATTAAATAACTATTGATCCAATCACTATAAAGCATGTTGTTGTTTGCATCTGCGAGCAAAGTTACGTTCACTCATTCAGAAGGTTGACGTTAAGTAGCTTTTTTAAAAAAAATTATAATCATAACGCAAACCGGACGTTGCCCTACAGCAACGTTCAAAAATTCGATTGTTACTAAAAGGATAACTGTGAAGTGACTAGAGTAGCAAGTGATGCTACAATATTAACAACTAGAGTAGTAGGTGTTGGACTTTTGATGCTACAATATTAACGACTAGATCAGCAAGTGTTGGACTCAGATGCTACATTACTAAGGACTAAAGTAGTAGGAGTTGTCTCAGCGGCGGAATACCTCCGATGTGCCGCTTAATGGCCCGACTCGAAGTAACACTGTTTGGGTGAGGGGAAGAGGGAGGACATTGGGGAAGACTTAATGAGCTCTGGCTCGGTAGTTTTCTGTTTGTCTTCCGAGAGTTAGTAGCAGTCGGACTTTTGATGCTTCAATATTAACCACTAGAGTAATAGGTATTAGACTTTGATGATACACTTTTAAACAATGGTTGGCTGTTTTATTTTTTTTAATTCGTTATAACGTCGATCCTCAGATAGGGACGAGAAATCACAGAATACACCCAGCACCTTGATCACGCCAATAATTAGATATAACGACATCGTCATGAAAATACAAAGATAAACATGACACAAAAGGATGATAAATTATAATTGTAGTGTAGCATATGTAAGACAAGCAGAAATATACATTATTTTAAAAACAAAAATGTCATAACTTTATGAGGCCGATGTTGTGCGACGCCAAAAAAAAAATAAATGATGAAAATTCAAAGGTTAGCGAAACCTCTAAAAACGTATGTATTCTTTTTCACGCTAAGGTTTTTAAAAACATATGCCATCACAATGTTTCAAGTGTGCCCCCCCCCTTTTTTTTTTCTAGCTAGCTTATTTGGATGTGAATTAATCTGAAGAGCAAATACGTATGACTTCATCAAAAAAATTAACGCAATGTGGTGAACTAGACTTTATATGAAACATTGATGAAATTAATTTTAATGTTTAAGGTAAAGCCATTGAAACAATTTTTGGGGACTCTTTGTGAACCATATCAAGACTCTGTGTGCATTGAATCAAAGACATGTTTCCGTTAGAAATGTATTCAATTAATGAGGATACAATTGGTGAGAATAACGGCAACAAAAAAAGAAATACATCATATGTTGCTAGCGTATGTGCTCGCAGTTTACTTCAATATAAATAAACATGTTTATTTTCATTGATTTGACCCACGTGCGATGCAAATTTTCTTCTCAGTTAGAATTCATTTCAATGAGCAAAACCAATGCAGAAATTACATGAATCCAAACCAGGGAAATCTAACCTATGTGTAACTTTGACATGCTGTTGAAATTAGACCACATGGCATTAAAATATCACTTGCTCTCTACGGAAGTGATCGTAACTCGCTTGCGGGAGGTAGCCATTTTACACTATGGAAGAGGTCCTTACCCCCCTGAGGAAGTGTTCCTTTCTTCTCACGGTAGTGGCGCTTACTTTCCAACGGTAGTGGTCCTTACTTTCGACGGTAGTGGTCCTTACTTCCAACGGTAGTGGTCCTTACTTTACACGGTAGTGGTCCTTACTTTACACAGTAGTTTTTTTTTACGTACCAAGTGGTCATTATTCACAATGAAAGTGGTTCTTAATTCCCACTGAAGTTATCCATACTCTCTAACGATGTGGGACTTAGAAATAGTATAGAAATGAAGAGTGACAATTATGACCATATTACATTCCATAAACTTTGTGTTAACTCCATTCAGGAACCAGTTACATTAAATAACACGCTTTGGCAAACTCCGATTCATATCTTACGCAGTCATGGAAACTTAAAGAGCAGGCAGGGAGCAACACTTGTTGGCCTAAATGTGGAACGATTAGCATGAAAGTTTAAATATCTGTCCGCCCCCAATAGATCCACACTTTATCCCCATGACATTTGGTCACCCCTTGAAGCTATACATAAAGCAACGTTGCTATTCAAAATTTTTTTTTTTTTTTTTTTTTTTTACTGAAGAGCGGCCTAGTTTAAACAAAGCCATCACGATGTCACCGTTTGCACGGAGTCTGGACACAGTCAGTTGGGTTTCCATGGCTCTCAGGCTAACAGGGATGTGTCAGGGATGTTGGGGGATGGTTTAAACCGAGAAGTGTCGGTAAAACAGAGTTAAGCCTAACAAAAATATGATGTGAGTTGTGTGATAGCGTGACGAATAGATGCTAAAAATAAGAAAGAGTTAGCCAGTCAAGGGGCTGAGAGTTTATTGTATCGAAGTGTTCAGCCTTATCCAAACCTTTGCTTTAACGTGTCATAATCACTTCTAGTTGACATTGTTTAGGTGAATTTTGTATAAGACCCGTTAATCCGAGAAAGCTTAATAGATACCGAGCTAAATCCGAATATATAATATGATCATTGATAGCTCTGCTAGTCTTCGATAACTTATATTGAAATATATGTAACACCCTAATATGTATCCAGAGTTCAAATAGAGCTTTGCTATCATTTGTGATAAGACATGAGCCTGGTGTCTGGTTGAAATAGAGCCATGATTGTGATATGACATGAGCCTGTTGTGGTGGTGCATGGTTTACGATTTAACTATAAACCTTGTTGCACTTACCAACCCTTTAGCACGAGCCCTGCAGACCTTGTGGCTTCAGATTGGGGGGAAGGGGGGGGGGCTTGGGTGAAGGGGCCCACAGTTGTGATGTGGAAAACCAATGTAAACATTCAACTTTAAATTCAGGGGCACAAACACGATATCTGTCAGAAGACCTCGAAATGTCGCGCGATGGCTCTGGAACTAACTTAGATGTACAGAGCTCACGGGCTGATATTAATCAATTTGTAAACGGTTTGCCCGTCAAAAGTCCATTTTGCTATTTTCTTGTCTAACGTGGGTTCTCTTGAGATCATGGTCTCACATCACAAGACTTCATCGTCTTAGTCCCTGCAGCATCTGAACACTTGGGATTATTCATCAAGATCTCTACTGCGTGTCGCCAGGCAGCGCGATGTCTGCCTCAGATTACTAATGTTGTTTTAGACCATAGAGGGATTATAGGGGAAATATTACAGACACCAGCTGTGAAGGTTGGATGCGCTAATCTCAGCTATGAAACTAATCTTCCAATTTATGTTGACTTGATCAACTGAGGGGATTATTTTATACCGCAACTAACCTAAGTTGTGTCAACAAAAATATAACACTCAACATATATTGTCCGGGAATTTCCCGAAATCAAAATTTGCTAAATTTTTTTTGTAATCAAGATTTAAAGAGCCCAAGCTCATTGCGCAAGGGGCTTTACAATTGAGAAGTGGGATACTTTGGTAGTTCAAAGTGGTTTCATGCGTATTAAAAAAAACAACAACATTATTTTAAATGGGCCTTCTGTTGGTGCTGAGTCTCAAAAGAGCTAGATCTTTTTAATGTTTAAATTATACCTACACACCTCGCTATTATTTTCTTCACTTGTTCTGTATATACATATATGATGCAACACTTGTATCAATATGCTATAAGTCAATGCTATTAACATATGATAATTCAATGCTATTCAAATATGATAAGTCAATGCTATTAATATTTGATAAGTCAATGCTATCAATATAAGATTGCCACGGTATTTTATAGATTACCATCTCCATTCTATTACCCGTCATTTGCTGTCTGGCAAATTGCTATAGCTCAGCGATTCCCGAATAGCGGTCCTCAAGCCTCAGGTGACGGGTCCGCACAACATAAATATGTATAATCAATATAAAATAAATACAATTGAAAAATCTGGTACCGGTCACTGGTGCAATTTCAAAATGTGTCCAATGGTCATCTGGTAAAATTTTGAAACTTTTTCACCGGTCATCTGGTACAATTTTGAAACTAGTCCACTGGTCCCTGGTACACTTTTGAAACTTGTTCACCGGTCCCTGGTACAATTTTGAAACTTGTTTACCGATCACTGGTACAATTTTGAAACTTGTACTTGGTCATCTGGTACAATTTTGAAACTGGTCCACATGTCATCTGGTACAATTTTGAAACTTGTCAATCAATCCTTACGCCAAAGTTAAGCGCTGCTCCAACACACAGTTCATGAACTTAAAACGTTCACCATCGTAATATCTTTGTATTTTAAGAAGAAAACACTTTCTCAAACTGAAATTCTTTAAATTTAAAACACCAAGTAATTTTAAAACATCTTTGCCTTTACCGAAAGATTGGAGGTTTGCCACACCCCGTCTCGTGTAGATTGTAACGGAATGACCCCATACTTCCGATCTGAGGTCTCTCTCTTACTCCATATTTCATTCACATATTTGCGATTGATTTCTAGAGCAGTCCGATGTTTGTTGCTTTTGGCGCGTACCCTTTGCTGATTGGCCTCCCCTGTTATATCCACAACACGGGTAAAACAGGAGTGAGATGATTAGTCCCTATGGCCTAAATTCTAGGCCACATTCTTTAAATCATTACCTTAAAGTAATTAATACAATTAAAGCTGTTTTTTTCCCCACTTTAAATTAGCGTTTTCATTTTGCTAAATAACCACCTGTTCCTTCGAACGGGCAGTCCACGTGCACCCACTGATCACGTGACTGTAATGTTTTTAAGTAAAACTTTGATGACGTTTCACACATGCGTTGATCGTAGATGGCTCCGGTGCATGCGTATGAGCTCGCTGTCCTGGCGCGTGGGTCTGTAATGATGATAAAGGCTCCCGCCCCCGGCGTAGTGCCCGGCACTCGAGTGCCCGTTGGTGCAACTGTCCAGCCGCAGCGACGACTCGCGCGTGCTGGTGCTGTGTTGTAAGGCACTGTTGTACATGGACCTCGTCGAGTAGAGACTTCTCGTTTCCGGTTTTGAGCAGCACAGCATCGCCCGGATGCGCCGTCGAATCTTCTGGCTGAACAAGCAGTAGACCAGCGGATTCATGCAGCTGTTGGACGTGCCGAGCCACTGCACGAATGGTATGATAAGATTGTGTATGGTCGTCACGGCTGCGTCTTCCGGGGGGAAAAAATCGAGTGTCAGGCGCATGATGTACAGCGGCATCCACGAGATCATGAACAGCAGCACGACCACGGCGAGCATCTTCACGACCCTTATCTTGGACTTCTCGATGACTCCTTTACTGGACGTGATGCCCGGCGCGTCTCTGTGCCAGACGCGGTACCCGATCTTAAAGTAGCAGATGGCAATCAGCGTCAAGGGCAGCGTGTAGCACATGAGAAAAATAACCCCGAGGAAGTAGGCCTTCTTTTGTGCGACTGTTGGAAATTTCTCATGGCAAACGGCGAATGTCTTGTTGTCTTTTTCAATGTACACGTGCTCGTAGAAGAGAGCCCAGGGGATCAGGAGCAGCATGGAGAGGAGCCAGATGACGAGGAGGATGAAACGGGCCATGCGTTTGGTGTTCCGCTGGCGCATCACGTGACAAATGGCGACATACCTGAAGAAAGAGACGAACAAGAAATACAAAATTAAAGTGTTATGGGTATATTTTGTAAAAAAATTAAAAAAATTAAGCCTTAACTAATATTGTAGGCCATAAATAATAATGTAAGCCTTAAATTACAATGTAAGCCCTAACTGATAATTTACACCATAAATATTGCAAAACGTAAATAAAAAATTAAGTCCTAACTAATAATCCAAGCCATAACTAATAAGCTACGCCCTAACTAATAATCTTAGCCATAAATAATAACCTAAGCCATAACTAATGATCTAATCAACAACTAATAATCTAAGCCATAACTTATAATGTAAGCCATAACTAAAATAATAATATAAAACCCTAACTAATAATCTAACCCATAGCTAATAATCTAAGTCATAACTAATAATCTAAGGCATTGCTAATAATCTAAGCCATAACTAATAATCTAACCCATAGCTAATAATCCAAGCCATAACTAATAAACTAAGCCCTAACTAATAATCTAAGCCATAAATAATAACCTAAGCCATAACTAATGATCTAAGCAATAACTAATAATCTAAGCCATAACTTATAATGATGTAAGCCATAACTAAAATAATAATATAAACACTAACTAATAATCTAACCCATAACTAATAATCTAAGTCATAACTGATAATCTAAGCATAGCTAATAATCTAATTCATAACTAATAATCTAAGCCATAGCTAATAATCTAATTCAAAACTAATAATCTAAGCCATAGCTAATAATCTAATTCATAACTAATAATCTAAGCCATAGCTAATAATCTAAGCCCTTACTAATAATCTAAGCCCTTACTAATAATCTAAGCCATAGCTAAAAATCTAAGGCCTTACTAATAATCTAAGCCATAGCTAATAATTTAATTCATAACTAATAATCTAAGCCATAACTTATAATCTAAGCCATAGCTAATAATCTAAGCCCTAACTAATAATCTAAGCCATAACTAATAATCTAAGCCATAACTAATAATCTAAGCCATAACTAATAATCTAAGCCATAACTAATAATCTAAGCCATAACTAATAATCTAAGCCCTTACTAATAATGTATACCATAAACAATGCAAAACGTTCCTAAAAATGAAAGCCGTAACTAATAATGAAAATAATGAAAGCCATAATTAATAACTGCCCTTTTTTTTTTTCTTTTTCCGTTTTCATTAACTGTGAACATGTTGTTATTTTTTTCTTGATAAGAAACATTTGTAACGCCCTGTCTAATGTGATAAAGGGATGATACAAACCACTTAATAACATTTCCAATCAAATGAAAAACGCGCATAGACAGGGTCCAGGACAAAGCATTAATTTATGCGCCCTCTTCCCTAATAGTGTACCAGGTATATGTCAATGCACTTATTTTGTATAAGCAATAACGATTTTCACACAGAGTTTTGATGTAAAAACTATTATTATTGGTAGCATCGTTACTTTTATTTTTTTTCATCATTCACTGCAAATTTATCTAAGGCCAATGGCCGTTTGAAATACGCTGTATGAAAAAACGACGTTAAAGCCACCGAATAAAGTTGAAGGCAGTGGTTCTTAAATTAGGGTGATGGTGTCACCCTAAGGACGCTAAAAGCCTTGGGTGATTTTCTCGGGCAGTGGTGCTTACAAAGGGGGAATTTAACTGGCATTAACGGTCAAAGAAAATTTAATTTATTTTTATTACAAGGCGATTCAATGCGTTGATTGTCGGAATTAAATTAAAGTCCACGATAAACAGAGTGAGATCATAAAAAAGCTATGAATTCTAATTGGCCATTCGATGGCTCCTTGAAGTCTAAAACTAACACCTCTTGTGGCAACGCGACAACTACGCCGGGTAAAATATTTCTTAATTTAAAAGCATAGGCCCACATAACTGCGCCATATAAATCAAATCCACGCTACATTGAAAGGAACTTGGTGATTGCTAAAAATGGCGACTAACAACTCTCATGTTAAACAACTTGTCAATAACTTAGTGACTTCTAAACTGGCGACTACAAAGTCTCATGTTAAACAACTTGTCAAGAACTTAGTGACTGCTAAACTGGCGACTATCAACTCTCATGTTAAACAACTCGTCAATAACTTAGTGACTGCTAAACTGGCGACTACCAACTCTCATGCTAAACAACTTGTCAAGAACTTTGAATGCTTCAACTGGCGACTACCAACAGCTGCTCATGGTACATAAGGCTTGTGACACCCACTCACGCCCCCCCTCCACCCGCCAACAACAGCAACAGTGTGGCGCAGTACGATTCTCTCAAAAGCGAATCAAATTTTTAGAGGAAAAACAAATCTACTTGAACACAGTACCTGTCCACAGCTATAACCACCAGGGTGTTCACTGACGCACACACCGAGACTCCCTGCAGGTAAGGCACAGCCTTGCACATGAACGCTCCGAATAGCCACCCTGAGGATTAAGCAAAACAATGAATTTAAAATATTTATATACGTAGGGAAATGGTCTACAGCACCGTTTTATTTCCTGCATGTTTCCCGGTTAATTTTTGCAATTATTCCCCTCAACTTAAAAGGTTTATAAAACCAATTTAAAAAAAAAAAAAAAAAAAAAAAAAAAAAAAAAAAAAAAAAAAAAAAAAAAAAAAAAAAAAAAAAAAAAAAAAAAATAAAAAAAAAAAAAAAAAAAAAAAAAAAAAAAAAAAAACAACTTAAAGAAAAAATACTGGCTATAGCCCACAAATAATGGCGGCCGCAGTGTGTGAACTTAAAGTTACTAAAGTTACTTGAGAAAACATGCATATGTACATATTCTTGCCACCTTCACCCGGACCACTTTTGTTTTGGCTGGAACTGATTAAAACTAATGAGAAACTAAACTTGAGCACCGAGGAACGTGGGCAGTAGTGGCCTTCTTGTCCAAGCCAAGGCCAACCTTCCTGTGGGCAGTAGTGGCCTTCTTGTCCAAGCCAAGGCCAACCTTCCTGGTTATAAATGTCAGGGACTGGATTAAGTGCCAGCAGAGTGGTGGCGTTGTTTTTTGTTTTTTGTTTTTGTTTTTTGTTTTTGTTTTTTGCTTCTTACACTGACAGGATTTCAGTTGATTTTGTTTAATTAAAACAGCGGGGGAACGATGCCAGAAAACTGTAGTTCTCAAACTGTACAGCTTATGATTTGGTGAAAACCTTTCGTTGAAAGTTGTAATATAGCATTCTATCATAATTTCAAATAAATAACGCCTAGAGTCCGGCGATTTCTTGGGAACTTTAGAAAAGGGAAAAATAACAGTACGCAAAAATAAAAGCGATTCAAAATTTAGTCATGTAACCATAATCAATTTAAATATACAATTGCGTTGATATGAAGAAAAAAAATTACAAAAATAGAAACTATATTATCTGACAACACAGTAAGTGAAAAAAGTTTAATCCTCGAACAATACAATTTAAATACCTAACCCAAACACACACAAAGATTCAAATCTTGTAAGGCTCCTATAAGTATTTTAAGCCATTAAGTGTTGTGTTTAGGAAAAATAGCTCAAATCTAGAAATTGCATCACTCACTTAATAAAAAAAAAACCTTTTCCCTATCAAGGGAGAGGTGGGAAATTTTAAAGCGCTACGCATTTAATCGGTAAGTTCTAAACAAAAGAGGAGAGGTAAGTTTGAATGCTACCGCTTGTGGTAAAAAAAAAAAAAAGGTCAACACACAGGCTATAAAAAGTGGGACAGTTCATCCGTTCAGGACATTTGTCAACTCTAATAACCAAGAGAATAGGCGTCCATTATGACTTTATCCCATATTGGTTTTACCTCTGTTCCAAAATAATGAAAATGAGTTTTATCATCAGCTTCTCTAGCTAACGGCAAGAAGAAATATATGTTTATGTTGATATTCTCAAAACGAATTACTTCTTTATAAGAGCTATGCGCATAGTTTTTTTAGTGTCTTCATTAGGTGTGTGTGTGTGTGTGTGTATGTATGTGTGTGTGTGTGTGTGTGTGTGTGTTTGAAGATAATTTAACATTCTAAATTTAATGTTCATTTTCAAAGTTCATATTAATTGTTAACATTTACGATTAACAGTTTATGTCATCGAAGAAATCGGTCATTTTCCCATGGCTTTTCATTTGTCCATTGACCAAAGTTTAAGAATCCCTGCCTTGTCTTAAACCAAAAAAATTTTTAAAAAAAATGTAAAATAAATCTCTTAAAAAATTAACATAGTTGGACGAGTCTTCCCACCCCCCTCCCCCCTTCCGCCCCCTTAATTTAATTGAGTTATTGAAACCTCTGAGGAATTCTTTGGACAGAAATGTCAAGTGAAAGTAATACAAAAAGTGCGAGGGTGTGATCATCATTTATTGATGTGTTATGTTCATCTGAAAATGTCGTGGGGTGTTCATTTGCGGCAGCATCTCATCATGACATCAATTTTAGTTTTCTTGTTGGTAATATTAAAGTTTAAAATTTTTTTTTTAAACATTCTTTTGAACGATCTTGCCACTGTTAAAATTACGCACTACTGCTGATGTATTGTTTTATAGCGATCTAGGATCACTTGTCAATTTATTTACGTGTCATTTATTTATGGTCACTTTTAAATATGACTGTGCCTATGTGTAGTTTTGCAGTAAAGGTCTAAACTACAAAAGTAAAAAAAACAAATTTAAAAAATATTTTTTTAAAAATAACACAGCGATGAAGTGGGTCGAATCAATTGTGGCAATCATCAATCGCGCTGCTCAATTCTGTGTTGACACACGAAGTCAGACGCTAGCGAATTTCTCTTTAACGAATCAGTTTTGTAAATTTTTAATGTTTGCTATTTTTTAAAAAAAGTCATCGGTAAACGCCCCTAGAATGAAATAACCATGGAATATCTTTTTTCCACTCTACCCTAAGTAAATAGGTAATTTAAGAGTTTGGGCGTGTTGTAATATCACAGCATGTTCGAAGAACGTCTTCATTTCTTTAGAGTCCCAATAAATTTAGAAGAAAAAAAACAAAAAAACTTGTTCAGTAGGTCTTAAGTATATTAAAAAAAGAGTGCAACATTGGCGAAAAGAACATTAGCGCTATTGCACCCAACTTGGGAAATTTGTTTCAAACTTCACCGCGACTGCTGAACTCTCGGTCACGTGAGAATCCCACATCTTTAAGGACACAAATGAACACGCTAATGCAAACATCATTTTAAAAGTAAAAGAAAAGAAATCAATTATAAGAAATACTTATATCAACATTAATTATCATAAACGCTTAAAGTTTTAATTAGTCTTATGATCTTTAAAGCTTAAATTATTTTTTTTTTATTTAAAACACATTGCGTCTCATTAATTAAAAAAAAAAAAACAACATTTTTACGTGATTGCTATGCGTCACACATGTGTCACAGATGGATCCCAGTGTAATTAAAACCAATATGTCAATGTCGTCGACACACATCTGGATTAGAAAACTTTTATTTTGATGCACAGAAGTTAGGCTCATAGCAATAATTTTTAAATCACTTTGTTACTGGGCTTATATTTCGTGCTGTGTTACTGGACTTATATTTCGTGCTGTGTTACTGGGCTTATAGTTCGTGCTGTGTTACTGGGCTTATAGTTCATGCTGTGTTACTGGGCTTATAGTTCGTGCTGTGAGATAACTGGTGTCCCCCCACCCACACCCCCACCTCTGCAATCACTCACTGTCGCTAAATTGGACGTGCAGCGCATACAATCGATAGTGGACCGAACGGACGATTCAATTATTAGTTTGAATTATTTACTCATAATGAAAAAGTGCTGCACTTGTCTATTGGATTAGTAGACACCTTGGTTAGGGATGAAGTTCAGACAATGGTCATCAAAATAATTTGTGGATTCCTTGAAGCACTAGTACGCAGAAGTACGTACTGTCACATTTAAGATACAAAAATTAATTGGTGTCAACCAGTACACTCTACTCTAGTCTGGCCGAGTTTAATACCGGTAACATAACGTGGTACAATGATTGGTTATATTATTCTTTTGGGTCGAAATTTTGGTTACGTCATGTGATAGGGCATAACACACTGACGTGTGGAACATTCGTGGCAACAAGGTCTAATCAAAAGTAAAGGTGATTGCGTTAAGTCCTGTCCTTTCTTTTACTGCAGTTAAGTGTTAAGTCCTGTCATTTCATTTACTACAGTAAAGTGTTAAGTCCTGTCATTTCAGTTACTGCAGTAAAGCGTTTAAAAAAAACAGCTTGACCTGTATATTTAAATAGTGGTATGGTTAAGTTACATTAATTTTATTATTTTTTAATTTCTACTTTAATACTCGTCAGTTAAAAGAAAATCTGTGTCTTTTTAACAATAAAATGTGTTAAAATTGATGATATGGTTTTACCAGTGTATTTGCCCATTTGTATCTTATCTGAAAAAATTTCTAGCAGTTTGAATTTCCAATTTAAATTTCATCCTCTAGCCCGGATTCAAAACTGGTTCGAATTCATTCATAAAAACAACACATTACTAAATTTGTGATGCCTGTTGGAAATACCTACCACCTTCTTGACGAATTAATGTCATTCCTAGGGCCATGCAAGGTAAGGGGCAGAGTGGTAACCTACTGGGGCGTCCTATTCAGAGGGAGCCAAAATCCTCATTTTAAAGGCACAATAAGTGTAAAATCTATGCTTACAAAATAAGCATGTGTAAAAAAGTTACAATATAATTTTTTTAACGTAATAATAATTTTCCTGCACAGCCTCTCAACAAATGTCCCTGTTCCCAAATTGTTTCCATTGTTACCCCAGCAAGACCATTCAACGGAACAACGGAACACTGTGGATTTAATTAATTGTATTATGTCAGTTGATCTATATGGTTTAGTTAGTCTTTAAAACCACTGAGTGCCTGGCCCTGTTCTTTCACCATTCTATTTAATACTTTCTTTCCTTGTAAACTCAATTAGTTCATCTTCAAGTCTTAAAACAAATCTATTTAATAGAATTGTTTTTTTTTTTTTTTTTTTTTTTTTTGTAGATTCGAGCACTAAACCCAATTCCTAGAAGTGAGTGAGATTAAGTTCTTAATCCAATAGCCTGCCTCGAGTCTCCAGTGATTGGAGAGAGAAAAACATCGCACAACTTCAATTAAAAAAGTAATCCTCTTCATGTCATTGAATTCTATGCCCCGGGGTACCTTGTGTTTGGTACCTCATATACATGCCTTCAAGATGTAATTATTGGACACAATTTTCCGTCCCGTAGTTACAGGGGTATTTGACTCTGGGCATGTTTGTTTTTCATCTCGCAACCACATTCTTATTTTGATCTGTTTTCTTCACTTTTAAAAAATAAGAAATAACAGTTTCATAACAGTTTTTTTTTTTTTTTTAAATAATTTTAAGTAAATTTAAGTTAATAAAGATTTATTTATTCTTTTTTTTCATTCTCTTTCTTCTTCGTTTTAGAC